TAATCACATGAAAACCATGAAAGCCAGTTGCTAAGAAAAAGGTAGAACCATAAATACTATCCGAAATAGTGAAGGGTGCTTGATAATATTACATTTCTTGAAAGCCTGTGAATACTAAAGCCAGTGAAACGGTAGCTACTAAAGCGTAAACTGCTCGTTTTTCCTTCCCCGCGAGTATAACATGATGAGCCCAAGTTACGGCAACTCCGGATGAAAGCAGAATAAGAGTATTAAGAAAAGGGATTTTCCAAGGATCTAAAACTGCAATCGCTTTTGGGGGCCAAATACCTCCGATCTCTACCGTAGGTGCCAAAGAAGAATGAGAAGAAGCCCGAAAAAGAGCAAAAGAGAACATAACCTCTGATACGATAAACAGAATAAAACCATATCGAGGTCCTAATTGTACGACTTTGGTATGGTGTCCTTCAAACGTGGATTCACGTAGAACATCGCACCACCATATGAACATGGTATATAGGATAAATATGAGGCCCAAACTGAGAAGTGTTGCACCCCCTTGAAATGAGTGCATGTACATCACACCTCCTACAGTTGTTGCCAAAGCTCCGAGTAAACCCGAAATAGGCCATGGACTTGGATCTACCAAATGATAAGAATGCCTCTGAGATTCAATCATAAACCACTTTGCCTCGGTTCTATGTAAACCCCCCTTCACCCCCACCCCCTAAAGTAGTAAAGTAAAGAAGGGCTCTTTGGGGTCTAATTTTCTTTCTATCTGACAGGACAAACAAAGAAATAGGAAGGGATTGTTCTTTCATTCCATTGATAGAAGTCTAACTAGAAAAAGACTCTCTCTATTACTTTGAGAAGAGAATCATACGCCTGGAACAACGAACGAGGAGTGTGAGAAGAGAGTTTTGAAGGTCAGATCGAGTTGGCTTAGCTGGTAAAGCTTGTGTTCCAGGTCAATAAAGACTACAAACTCGTACTGCTAACAAAAAGCTAACAAAGTAACGCTGCTAAAGAAGAGCTTTTTCCGATTTCGGATACGAGAATAAGAAGAACGGAAGTACAAGAGGACAAGAAGGAGAAGAGGCGAGTACAGTTTCACTTCAGTTTCACTTGCTTGGTAACCTCTTTCCCGGTCAGAGATAGAGAAGAATCCAAAGCTTGCAAGGATGTTAGGCTTCGAACGCTGTTAGGACAGATAAATTGGAAAGCTAGGATGAAATAGCCCTCTCTATACTGAATGGATCCAGTATTTTAGAACTGGTGGTGGGAACTGAACGAAATCAAAGGGGGCCTTAGCCCTTAGAATCGAATTCTAAACCGGCGTGGTGCTGCTGGAAGCTTCTGATCAATAGAACAAGTAGAGGACCAAAAAGAAAGACCACCAAATGTAACGACCACCAAGATAGGCATAGTAATTCGATCTTTTGATCACCCATTTTTTGAAAACCATTTTTGGGGGCTTCCGCCTTACACACAGAAGATTGGATTGCCTGAATCACGAGTCTTATATACTGTGTTACGATCACCTCATATTGATAAAAAGTCCAGAGAACAATTTTATATGAAAATAGAGAAATAATTTCTGGTCATAAAAATAGAAAGGCATGAATTGCGCAAGAATTTCTTTCGGTTAAAACGCCGTGCGACTCGGAGTACATAAGACTTCTTGGTCAAGCCAAAAAGATTGCCGACTGGATGCTCCTACCCCACCATGCCTGGCCCTTTATCTTACCTTAAGAAGAAAGAGGAGGTATGAAGCATGGGACAGAATGCAAGAAGTGATACAATAGATAACCTTATTAAGGAGTGGCGGCAAACCTCTTGATTGATCAACGCGAGTGAACTGTGCTTAGACGCTTCGTAAAACTACATCGAACTACGAGAGGAGCTGATAGATGAGTAGGCTTCCCCTTTCGATTCACGGAATGTGATCTGGGACACAATGGGAGTTTACGTGTCTCGGTAGGAAAGAGATCACCGGAGTATAGCACAAGATAGCCTTTTCTTACTGCCATGGGGTCGACCTATGAACAAGGTAAACCCAATGGGAACAAAAAAATAGGGGGTGCCGCATTGGGAAGAAGACGATCCAAAAAGTGAAGGCTCACCCAGCTGAAGGAAGGAGGTAAGATAGGCAAGAGGTAGCTTGCTTCCAAGCCGGCCCGGCCGCGAGGAATCAAGAGATCTTTGCCGGTGCTGACTTGGATCTCGGGTGACGGAATAAGGCGGCCAGAAGCGACGAGCAGTCGCGGTCGAAGCTTGGCTCTAGCCGATAGGCTAGCAGTAAGCTTGGCTACAGCGAAGCGCTTACCAAGCGCGAAGGAAAGGGCCTTCGCCACTTGAGCCGTATGCGGGGGAACTCGCACGTGCGGTTCTTAGGGGGGGAGAGCTAGTAGGAGCCATCCCATCCCAATAGCGTATATTTGGAGCTCAATATGAAATCCTATTTTCTTGCAAGACCCGTTCGGATAAGGGAAAACTCCAGAGATTGCTTCGAAATAAGATCCTTGCGTTGACCCTTTCCTGAACCAGAACCGGGGGAGGATGAGAGGAAAAGGGGATCAAAATGTCCCATCAATAAAGTGAGGGCTTTCCATTCTTCCTTCCCCCCCCCCCACTCCCCCTTTTTCAATAAATAAGCCCCGCGGGGCCCTCTCTGATAAGGAAGGAAACGAAATAATCTAAATTTTACTACATATCCAGTCCGATGGCTGTTCTCCACTAACCACAAGGATATAGGAACTCTTTATTTCATCTTCGGTGCCATTGCTGGAGTGATGGGCACATGCTTCTCAGTACTGATTCGTATGGAATTAGCATGACCCGGCGATCAAATTCTTGGTGGGAATCATCAACTTTATAATGTTTTATTAACGGCTCACGCTTTTTTAATGATCTTTTTTATGGTTATGTCGGCGATGATAGGTGGATCTCTTAATTGGTCTATTCCGATTCTGATAGGTGCGCCTGATATGGCATTTTCACGATTAAATAATATTTCATTCTGGTTGTTGCCTCCAAGTCTCTTGCTCTTATTAAGATCAACCTTAGTAGAAGTGGATAGTGGCACTGGGTGGACGGTCTATCTTTTAATTTGATCCGGGTTAATCTCGTCTTCTTGAAGAATTACGAATTCCTAAACCTAGTAAGGGAAAGCGATTCTACTCCAATTGCATTCATCAGTCAGATGAGAGTGAGAATAGAAAGGAAGCCGGGAGGAAGAATGGAGTATAGCATTACCTCTAGAGTACAACCCGGAGCCTTCTTTTCGTAAACCCTACTCCTGCGCCCCTCAATCCCATATCTAGTACTTAGTCAAGCCCTTAACTACTTCTATATCTTAGAACAACCTTGCTCTCTGATCGACTTTTTATAGTCTGCATATCTATGGAAAGAGGAAGCTAGGAGAGGATTCTAAACAATTCTATCGAGCCTAACAACAAAAACAGAAAGATAGAATACCTTTCTTAGCTAGCCTAGCGTGCTAGAAACCTACAGTGAACAAGAGCCAGATCGAAGACATTCCTTTCATTCTTTTATACCCCTCTCTTCTTAGTTGCTCCTCTTTCTAGGGATCTAATAGTCGTAGACCACCTTCTTGTGACTATGTTAAAGAATTCTTTTCCCCCTTTGAGTTCTCGAGTCAAAGGGTCCAAGCTATAGGAAAATATCCAATTTCTCTCGCAACATATCTAGTTTATCCTGAAGCAGCATTTCTCAAAGTAGCATTCCCATAAGTAGAGGATGAAACCCTTTCTTGTTTATCCCAACGAGGGTTTATGAATCACTCAAACGAGCCTTTCTAGCCGTATCTGAATCGGCATCCCTATCCATATGTTTATGCACAGGGGTATCCAAATTCGAATCTATAGAATCTATTGGGGAATCCCCATCCGCACCCGAATTGGCTAAATCTAGTATAGTGGGTCTTGTTCCGATGCGGGAAAAAATCTTTTTAAAGGGTGTCTCGGCGAAAGAGGACTGAGAACCATATAAGTGAGCGCCAAAATGCTAGCATAAGCTGATCCCACAGACACGTATGATAAGGGGGTGTGGGGACAACCAGAACACCACTTTTACCAGATATGGTTCCGGACGACCCAAGAGCCCGCCACTAGAACCCAACCCTTAAGAGGCTAAGGTCCAAGGGGCTACCGCAGGAAGTCAGCTTCACCTGTAACCTTAAGGAATACAGAAAGTTACCCGGAATTCCTAGCAAGGACTTTGCCTGCTATTCATTCCTAAATCCCTTTCACCCATAACTAGCTAACTCGATAGGACGTCAACAGTGGGAATACCAAATGCATGACCTGGACCTGGTTCACGCAGTCAAGCAAAACAGACCTCTTTCTCTTCGGGAGCTTTCGTAACGGCTATAAAGAATGGGTCTTTCCCCTCGTGAATGGCTATTGGGATCGATCCCTTCAACTCTTCTTGCGTGGAAGGTCGCAAGAGAAAAGAAAACTTTTCTTCTTAGCAGCTTTTTCAACATACTCGAGGTAAGGAAGTAAAGCAACCAATAGCCTTTTTACATACTATGCCTTTCATCGGGTAAGCAAAAAGTAGTTACCTTTAGCTCGGTCTTCCTTATTAATTATTAATAAGACACAGGAGAAGCATCATCCTTATAAGACTGTTGCTAAATAAAAGCAATTCTTTTTCACATTCAACCATGAGAGGGCAACTTGAGCAATCAAAGCTACGCCCTCTTCCACTACTGACTATGAACAGTTGACAGCTAATGATTTCTACTTTACTAAGCCAGTTCGGTAAGTTAAGGTCCATGATTGAAACGAAAAAAAAGAGGAAGGGGAAGGGTCGCCCAAAGCTGTGGAGATAAGGTGGAAGATAAAAAAGTTATATTTATAATAATAAAGAGAATCTATTCAAATTCATATTAGAAAATGGGATTATCAACTATACTTGACTAGAAAAACCAGCCAATCTACTCCCCTTTTTTTTGGTCTCCCCCCTGTAACTTGATAAATCATAAGAGAAGAAGAAATCGTTGCGTAGAAAGTCTTGCTTATTGTCTCCTCCATCTAAGTTATGTAAGAGGAAAAGAGCGAAAAGCTTACTTTTAGGTAGTGGCCTAAGCGCTAAGAAGCTCCATCCATGCTACTCAANAGCTTACTTTTAGGTAGTGGCCTAAGCGCTAAGAAGCTCCAATCATGCTACTCAGACTATATGCTTAACACATGCAAGTCGAACCTTGGTTTTCGGAGTTCGAAAGAGAAGGGGAAGAAGCGGGGTAGAGGAATTGGTCAACTCATCAGGCTCATGACCTGAAGATTGCAGGTTCGAATCCTGTCCCCGCCTAATCAGTGGAACATTGTTCACCGGGATAGAAGGCCGGTCCCAACCCGGCTAAACAATGGGGCTAGTGTTCAGTCTGGGTTGGTTCCACCTCTTTGCAGGTTGATGACACTAGTAGCTATTACGCACAGATGACCATTTCTTAGACTATTGAATTCCAACTTAAAGCTCCTCTCCTTACAGTCAAGTGGCTTTCACTCCTTATACTCTAAACTACTGTGTGCCTATTTTTTGCTTTTCACAGTAAAAGTCAAAGGTTTGTTGGTGGCAAGATCGGCATGCCTTCTAGTTGTAGTTGACATTAAGCACACCTGAACTACCCATAGTCATCTATTTACGGGCTTGCACTTAATAGTCAATCAATTCGTTTTTCCGCTTTGTTGTACATCATGAATCTTTCTGTTCACACACCTCTCCACATCCATCACCAGGATTTCAGAAGTAATGAAACCTGACTATTGGGATAACCTTAACATCAGTTGATGCTAGTCTGAGAGAACCAGCAGAGAGAGGGCCAACAATCTTTTCCATCAGGGTTGCCACAGTAAAATATACCGGAGATGGGGAACTCCTAACAAAAGCACCATGAGACGGGGCTTTTCTCCCAAACATCTCCTTCTGCACGAGCGGCTATTGCGCCTAAACTTTGAAATTGAGTTGCTTCTCTCTCTTGTTCCTTATCTAGTTCCGGCCAGTGGCTTGGAAGAAAGCTACATGTGCTATATAGAGGGAGAAGAGAAGCAGGATTGAAGAAGCTGGTTCAAAGATAAGGTATCAATCGGCTTTCTTTCCGTCTTCTTTTCTGCCAGGGGTAGATGCCTTAGATTAAGAAAGGGTTGGTAGACCATTAGTCCATTCCCGATGATCCTCTCCTGGTCAATTGCTTGGGGTTTCGGACCATTGCTCTCTTTTTTAGTCGTATCAGGTGCATCGGATTTGCTTTGACTTGCCTTGTCCATATAGTCAGTAATCGATGTAAGAAAGATTCTTCTATGATAAGTGGTCCATTGCACCTTAAGAATCCGCCCATTCTATTAGGTTTCCTGTAGAGCGAGGGCCTCTTCTTCCTGCCTTTTTTGTAAGAGACTTTCTTTCTTGCCTGAGTATGGGTCTACCTGCCTTATTCTTAGATGCCTTACCCTTCCTTATCCTGAGTCTTGGTATGCTTAGATTCCGGTTCCCCAGCCGACTGTTGAATCTATTTTTGCCTTGGTGTGCGAGACAACAGAAGGGCAGCTTAGCCTTCTTCTCCCTTGCGGATCTATTACAACTAGCGATTCTGATAAACATTATTATAGAAATTGGGGCTAATTCAATAGAAATCGGTCGTACCTAGCCTCGATTCACGTCGCAAACATTGTCCAATGATTCATAAAAAAATGCAAAGAGCAGAGTTGGCGCATCTTATCTTTCTTCTTCAGTGCCAGGAATAAAGAGCTAGCACTAAGTGCAGGGGATGAATCTTTATCGACTTCCTTTTGAATAACTTGGAAACAAAAAATATATATTCTAGTTCTATCATCAGCTATGGGTTTGAATCTAAGAGAAATTCTGCAGAATGTTTGCTATCCTAAATTTTTTTTGTCTTTTCTGAGTGATAAGGAGAGAAAAAATATTGGGTCAAAAGAAAATGCCATTTTGGAGTTTTATCAATAATTTGCTTGTGTAGGTGGCGATCCGGTATTTTCTGAATCCTTATGTAAGGAATTACAAGAGAAATTCTTTCAACAAAGATGTGAATTAGGAAGGATTGGTCGACGAAATATGAACCGAAGACTGAACCTTGATATACCCCAGAACAATACATTTTTGTTACCACGAGATATATTGGCAGCCGCCGATCATTTGATTGGGCTGAAATTTGGAATGGGTGCACTTCACGATATGAATCATTTGAAAAATAAATGTATTCGTTTTGTAGCATNATTGGGCTGAAATTTGGAATGGGTGCACTTGACGATATGAATCATTTGAAAAATAAACGTATTCGTTCTGTAGCAGATCTTTTACAAGATCAATTCGGATTGGCTCTGGTTCGTTTAGAAAATGTGGTTCGGGGGACTATATGTGGAGCAATTCGGCATAAATTGATACCGACACCTCAGAATTTGGTAATCTCAACTCCATTAACCACTACTTATGAATCCTTTTTCGGTTTACACCCATTATCTCAAGTTTTGGATCGAACTAATCCATTGACACAAATAGTTCATGGGAGAAAATTAAGTTATTTGGGCCCTGGAGGACTGACAGGGCGCACTGCTAGTTTTCGGATACGAGATATCCATCCTAGTCACTATGGACGTATTTGCCCAATTGACACATCTGAAGGAATCAATGTTGGACTTATTGGATCCTAAGCAATTCATGCGAGGATTGGTCATGAATTTGTCTTTTTTTATATAATCATTGGATAGAAGAGAAAGACAAGTAGTAAAATTATTCCTCGTCTAGAAATATCCAAATTTTGATGCCCAATACTCCATAGATAGTTCAAACTGTATAAGGGCAATAATCAATTTTTGCTCGAATCATTTGTAGGGGAAACCTACCTTCTCTGATCCATTCAACACGTGCAATTTCTTTTCCGTCGATACGCCCCGCAATTTGTATTTAAATTCCTTTTGTATCTGCTTGTTCTGTTAATTCAATAGCCTTTTTCATTGCTTTTCGAAAGGAAACTCTAATCTTTAATTGTCCAACTATAAATTCTGCAAGAATATTAGGGTTTCCCTAAGGTTTTGCAATTCTTGTGACAGCAATGTTCAGTTTTTGGTTTACACAATTAAATTCTTTTTGTAAGGTCATTTGTAATTCTTCGATTCCGCGCGGGCTACTTTCTATTAATAATTTTGGGAATCCCATAAAGATTATGACCTGGATCCGATCGATTCTTTTTTGAATCTCTATACGTGCAATTCCCTCGATTGCAGAGGACATTCTCATATTCTTTTGTACATAATTCATTATACAATCTCTTATTTTTTGNCTCTTTTTATTTATTCTTTTATTTTTTCTGAAATTGAGTCAAAAAATAAAAAATATTCGAGTTAGTTATAAATTATGAACTAATGAACTAGCCCTTTTATTGGTTATTGGAACACTAACACTTACTAAAAAGAGTTTCCCTTGGTCTATGAACGGGAAGGATGAAAGCGAGTCAGTATGCTAATTCCTCATCCGCAAATCAGCCCTTCCCGTAGGTTCTTTTCTCAAAGAATAAAGAATCGGAGGATGGAAATCTTGATAGAATTTGAAAAAGCAAACGACAAGTCGACGGCAATAAAATATGAAAAATGTATTTATTTTTCATATTTCTAACCTAAGATTAAACAAAAGGTATCTTATTGGTAAGTGTTAGTATTCTAATAACCAATAAAAGGGCTAGTTCATTAGTTCATAATTTATAACTAACTCGAATATTTTATTATTTTTTTACTCAATTTCAGAAAAAACAAAAGAATAAATAAAAAGAGGGGCGAAGTGCTACAAAAAGAACTCTGTTCGATTTTTTAGTCTATCTATAAGAGGAGATCATATGAAAAACGTAACCGATTCTTTCGTTTCTTTGGGACACTGGCCATCTGCCGGGAGTTTCAGGTTTAATACCGATATTTTAGCGATAAATCCAATAAATCTAAGTGTACTGCTTGGTGTATTGATTTTCNTCCTTCCCGTTCATAGACCAAGGGAAACTCTTTTTAGTAAGTGTTAGTGTTCCAATAACCAATAAAAGGGCTAGTTCATTAGTTCATAATTTATAACTAACTCGAATATTTTTTATTTTTTGACTCAATTTCAGAAAAAATAAAAGAATAAATAAAAAGAGGGGCGAAGTGCTACAAAAAGAACTCTGTTCGATTTTTTAGTCTATCTATAAGAGGAGATCATATGAAAAACGTAACCGATTCTTTCGTTTCTTTGGGCCACTGGCCATCTGCCGGGAGTTTCGGGTTTAATACCGATATTTTAGCAACAAATCCAATAAATCTAAGTGTAGTGCTTGGTGTATTGATTTTTTTTGGAAAGGGAGTGTGTGCGAGTTGTTTATTTCAAGAATAGGCTGGACCACCCAGCTGTACCCTTTTCCGTTATAACTAGGAAAGAGAGGTGCATGATCTCGCGAATTACTTCTGAATAAATTCAGAAATTATATGTAAGAACCATAGCATTTCGCGATTCATTGGTAAATCAATTTTGATTCTCTATTAACCAATAATGTGGAACTATTAACATGGTTAAAACAAACTGTTTGAAGTCTAGACGCAGCATGATATTCTTTCTACCACTCTGTTAATATAGAGGTGGTTTCAAAATAAATATTTTATCGATATAGGATACTCATATTGATAAAATGATTTGAACCGCTTATTGTAAATTGTAAAAACGGGGATTTTACCCCCTTTATCTAATGCTGAATCGACGACCTATTCTAAGTAAGAAGAGCTTTTTGGATTTGAAAAAAAAAAAAAGAAACAACTTTGCTGACAATTACATATTTTTTATTTTGTCAGAAGAGTCCTCCGAATATTTTGGTCTTACATTAGTTTCGATATCTTTTTGGAATATGAAAAAAGAAGAGAAGATAGGCTCATTACATTCATAAAAAAGGATATGAAAAGTTACCTTAAGTAATTGAGCGTGAGAGCCAAATGAATCGAAAGATTCATGTTTGGTTCGGGAAGGGATTATGGAATTTTGGAAAGGAATGGAAAAATAATCTATTTTTATTAAGTGATTTATTAGATAATCGAAAACAGAGGATCTTGAATACTATTCGAAATTCAGAAGAACTGCGTGGAGGGGCTATTGAACAACTCGAAAAAGCTCGTTCTAGCTTACGGAAAGTTGAAACTGAAGCCGAGCAGTTTCGAGTGAATGGATACTCCGAAATAGAAGGAGAAAAGTTGAATTTGATTAATTCAACTTATAAGACTTTGGAACAATTAGAAAATTATAAAAACGAAATGATTCAGTTTGAACAGCAAAGGGCGATTAATCAAG